ATTTGCTATATAGGTCAGCATAATTCTACTCCCGTTTCTCACATCTATTCATTTGTCTGTCTTGTTTAGTTTTTGTCTGTGTTCCAGTCCTGTTGCTTGTAGTATATTCCTGTTCCTGTTGTTTATAGCCATTATTTAGTAGTCAGTAGATTTTATTGTACTTATTTATGTTTAATATTTTCTCAGTTGTTTAGTTAGTTTAGTTTTGTAAGCATTTAAATGTACGCATTATTTTTTATTTGATGAGTTTGTTCTTTTAGGACATACTCATAAACTACTCATGAGGGACCTTAAATCCACAAGCCTTGCTTTCAACCAAGGTCACCTCATCTTTCTATTGTAACGCCATATTTTGTTCACTCCTTTATATTCATGTCATATTTATAATGTGTGTTATGAAAGAAAGATAAATAAACATTGAAACTTGAAACTTGAAACTAATAATAAAAATCTGTCGGCCTTTCGCGAGGGCTCAGGCTAAATGGCCAAGTCAATTTATTGTTCAGCCGGACAGCATGCCCGACAGGTATAGCGCCATCTAGCGTTAACGTAACGAGTGTTAAATCTGAACAAATCTATTAACAGCAAAAAAAAATACACCCCTCTCCCTCTCTCTCTCTCTCTCTCTCTCTCCCGCTGAAAGTAAAGAAATGGCTTACCAGTTATAAGTCTTACTTTTCTTTGAATTTCTCCTCGATAATTCAATAGAATATCATTCATATAATAATCTAGATGGAGACATACCAGTATATATGTTTAACATAATTAGATGCCATCACGTCTTCCATTTGTACCGCAGTCATTACCGCTAACCCTGATCACATGCACCCATGCTTTCACAACCACATCATCACTCTAACGACAGATACGACAAATGACGTCACCGTTGTCAATATATTACAACTGACACCTTGATTAGTATCAAACACACTATAGATTACAGTACCATGATTTTTTATCAACAAATCCACTTTAATCCTTGTAGCGGAATTATTCATCATCACAGCTCCCAGAACCAAATCTGCAATAAACATCACCATCATCACCACCACCACCACATACATTATTATCATCCCCATCATACTCATCACCATCATCATTATCATCATCAGCAGCAGCAGCATCATTACCACCATCATCACCATCATCTTCACTTACATCATTATCACCATCATACTCAAGCCATTGTCATAACCATCACCATTATCATCATATCCAAGACTATAATAATCCTCATCCTCATCACCATCACCATCAGCATCAGCAGCAGCAGCATTAATACAATGACGAAGCATTCATACAACTTCTCTCAATCCGCATCACCATCACTACCATCATCAACATCACCTAAGGAGCAGAGCCAATAACATAGGAATTTAGTTCAAATTTATACTTATTTTATTAAATTTCAAATAGTGAAAAAAGCACCTCACATACAAAAATTGTGCAACATATAAAATTCCATCTGATAACTTATTCATATTTCTCAAAGTACATAACATATCATTTGTTGCAAGCCTGTATTTTTGTTTTAAAAATTGGCACCAAGCTTGGATTATTGTTTTTTCCCTTCACACAATTATGTACAATACCTATTATATTCCATGATATTATTCATAAATAGTCAGCATACATTTTACCTTTCTGACTATATACATATATTTCTCATCCATACTCATAACAATGCTAACATTTTCAATTAATAATCCCTCCGAAAACTAGATGAACAAATCAAGATTTTAAAAACAGCAACATTTTCTACTGCAGCTGTAACTTCATAATTTCTTTCATATTTTCATGATGACAGAAACGACACCAGTGAAAAGAGAAAATTCAAACATTCTTTTAAAACGGAATGTTGGCAAGTTACTTAAATACAACATTAAGGTTGGCAACAACAAGTGTAGGCAAATTTATTTAATAAAGAAAAGACCTTCTTTCAACAATATTTTTACCCTTTTTTCTAACTGACTCTTTATTTCACCTGGTAAATAATCCTTTTTGGGTTATTGCTCATATTGCTATACGAGAGCAAAATATATATTTTTTTAAGGAAGTGCCTGGCAGAAAGTTCTAAAAGATGCATAGCCATGCATTTTAAGAAACACACATTTTGAAACTTTAATGTTTATTTGGTTATTGGTTAATAATATGGGCTTTAAAATATTAAATCTAATTCATATCTACTTAATGCAGTCCCTACCCACTTAAAACGTCAGTAAAATTGCACAAATTTGACCACCATACCTTGAAGAAGAAAAAATCCTTTTACTTATTCAAATGTACTTATGAATGACACAATTCTATAAATCCAAGAAAATTGATATGATTCTCTTGGATTTTATTTCAACTGTTCTCAAATATATTTTGATTATGACAGGAAACCCCATAATACAATCAATATTTCTTAAAAGATTACCTATTATTAAAAATAGTACTGGTTGAAGTATCATAGTAAATATTTTCTCATATATTACTTCACAAGTATTTCCAAAAAGAGTTCTTACAGATGTGACAGATGAGAAAGAGGGCATGTCAGAGAAAAGGCTAGAGCCCAATAAAAGAGGAAATAAGGGAAGAGATAGAGATAGACAAAAGGGGGAGGAAATTACATAGTTTCAATGTCGATGACATACAGTAAGAGAAAAGTAGAGAGAATTATAGAAAACTAAAATCACAATAATATGGCAATAAAAAATAACTGTTGCTGTAGTTGTATTAACAAAGTAATCTATGACTATTCAAAATTATTTCAACTAGATTTCAGTTTAGTTTAAAACTCTACATTCACATATATATACATATCATACCTGGGTATCACTTTACTGAACCATCGTTAGTACAAGTTCAATAACATCCCAAGAAAATTGTGTAATATAATTTACATGGACTTAAATGGCATGATGGTGAACTTTCACTTATGATGGTTTCATGAGAGACCGCCCTAATTACCATACTCTAATGGATATCAAGTACTATAAAGAGAATTCACGGTAACGCATAGTGGTGTAAAAACACACACCAAAAAATTAAAAAATGTGTCATAAAGGATTGCTCTAAAAAATTTGTTTAATTTCTTTTTGTTGTTGTTGCTGTTTCTGTTTATGTGAGAAATCAATAGGTGTGGCCTTTGATTACAGTGATATAAACTTAAAATCATGGTAGAATTAGTCAGAATAATTTTCAAAATGATCTATAATCATTAAAAAATGTTAATGTTAAACAGTGAAAGTAATCAAATTATTAATGACTTCATTCTCACAATAATAATTATTATTACATTATACATCACTTTTTGACAAAATTAAATTACTTTAAAACCTGTATTAAAATGGAAACAATATTAGAGATCTTGAATTAACTAAAAAGACCAAAAAGATTATACAACTCAAATAAATTACATTGGTCAAGATTTCACCAAACCCCAGGACAAAATATGTAGTATCAAGCCATATCTTCACTCATTTTTCCTGGTGATGTGACTTCATTTGAGGTTTTAAATGCAATTAAATTGATTCCAGTACCAGTAAGCATACTATGACATCTCAAAGTAAGATGATGGGTAATTATCAAGAATTAATGATGTAACACACGAGTCTTGAGCAGATTTATTGTATAATGAACAAAACAAGGCTAATAATCATTTCATGAACTTATGAAGCCTAATGAAATGAATGATATACAAACTAGATATCACAGTTTATACAGAATGGCAAGATGAAAGATAACAACATATTGTATCTGCATTCAACACTCATGCACAGACTGTACAAGAGTTAACATATACCTGGGTCCAATCACAACTAGCTCCCTCTTGTGGTGTAATTCTACACATTCAAATACTTGCAAGTATTTGACAGTTGTCAGATTTAGTTCCCTGTAAAAAGCTGGGAAAATATCTTGGTAATTTTCTCTATATAAATACCCCAGAAAGAGAAAGACATGCAGTCGTTTTGCTGATTAAGATATAACATTGCTTAATACAGCTTTCCATTGGCTATTTATAAGCCAAGAACAAGAGGTAGTCATTTAGACATTGTGTATCATATTTTCAGTCTAGGTATCTCCTACTACTTCTTCTACTGCTCAATTTGTTAACTCTTTCACTGCCATTTTATGACACCTGTTGCACAAAAAGAAAAAAATTTCTGAGAGAGTCTCCTTTAGTACGTGAGAGCATCATCTTTCTTGGGGTGGTGAGATGCTCATGAATCCTGAAGAATGCATCCTCCTGCCAGACTGGCTGGCAGACGACATCCTTGTAATCCCTTCTGGATGATATGAAGAAGTTTACACTATGAACATGACAGACAATGAAAGCGGACAAAATATACAGTTCCTCAGGAAAACAAAGGAACATCCCTTCACTGCTATTATGTAAAAATGTGTAGAACGGGTGAATATGCATGTGACACCTGTTCTACACATTTTTACATAATAGCAGTGAAGGGATGTCCCTTTGTCTACCTGAGGAACTGTATATTTTGTCCGCTTTTATTGTCTGTCATGTTCATAGTGTTAAGAACCCTGTTTGATTGCATCGTCATACTGATGACTAGCCAGCAGGACCTTGAAAGAGAAACCCCTCTGCAAAATACGAAGGAGGCTTTGAAGATCCCTGGCAGAGCACATCCTCCTACCAAGTACCAGGCTGGCAATGAAAGACACAGCGCTTGGAGAGCATCATCTAAGAAAGATAACCAACAGTCTTTTTCAAGACTATACCAACAGTCCTTTTCAGGACTACAAACCCTCAAGAAAAATTACCGAGAGTCCTTTTCAGGACTCCTCAATCCTCCCTCTCTCTCACATGGTGCACCCGCAAGCCTACTGTATATCATCTTAGATGTTGTCATAGCGATGTCCTGGCAGCAGCATCCTTGTAGGAGAATCATGACTGGATGATATGGAGAAGGCGTTTGATGATTTGAGAACTCTAACAGAGCGCATCGTCCTACCAGACTAGCAAATGAAAGACACAGCACTTGGAAAGCATCATCTTAGATGTTGTCATAGCGATGTTCTGTCAGCAGCGTCCTTGTAGGAGAAGCCTCTCTGGATAATAGTTAGAAGGCGTTTGAGAACCCTGACAGAGTGCATCCTTCTTCCAGGCTGGCCTTCAAAGACACACTCATAGAGCAGTTCAGAGAGCACGGAATCTACCTCATAGGGAGCATCATGAAGCATACCACCTGCGAGATAAGATAAAGAAAGGAAGATGGCATCATTAAATGGATGGCTCCACCCTGTGTATGTTCAAGACTAGACTAGACAATGGATTGTTGACATAAAAAAGTGGAAACTTATCTCCTCTTTGTAAACAAAGATAAATTTCTCACATCACATCTTTGAAGTCTGCTTACAGTGTTGCTACTTGATGGGTATGTCATTCGCTTCATATAAATGACCAAGTCAAAATAATTTGCTTTTCCTTCTGGTTTTCAAATAAATGGAGGCCTTCTGTACTTTTAACAGAATGGAATGCCAGACATACAAGATGCCCCTTTGGCCTTTAAGTCTTTTAAATTTTTGGAGAAGATATCATTATTATTCTCTCTTTTTCAGGCAAAGCATGTTTTTGTCTGATCTTTGATACTAAGCAACTTGACATTCTGTTCCCCCAAGATGTGTTATGGAAAGACATTTATAGATTTACACATTATCCACTTACATTGAGGTAATTCAATAAATTACTTCAAATTATGGAAACTCTCTGCGATACAAACATTTCTTTGATCAATGGAGCAAGCACTATTTTTTACACTAATGAACAACTTATGGAAATGCCATTTGAGGATGTGGTTTATGGACAGGGAAAACTACGGCCAAGAATGAAAAAGAGAGAAAATAGGGAGAAAAAAACAATCAAAAAAGGGGGAGCATGAGATAGAGAGAGAGAGAGAGAGCAGGGAAGATGGGGGATAGATAAATATAGAGAGTGGGAGAGGGAGAGTGACAGACAGACAGACAGGCAGACAGACAAACTAATACTATAGACAGACTGCTAAAGAGAAATGTGGGAGAAAATTGCCGCGATGAAAACAAGTGGGAGTATGACTGTGAGTTTATTGGAATAACTACAAAATTAAAGACAGAAATATGGACAGTACCTTCCAAACATAAACCAATACAAAACCAATGCAGATGGACAAAGACAGGAGAGATTTAATACCATGCAATATACATCAAAAATATCTTCATCCCAACATGTACAAAACGAGTGAGCCTGAACAGAATGTTTGGGAAACAGGAATCGGAAGGATTTAAGGAAAATTGAGTTGGTTTTGGAGGAAATCTCATTCTTGTCAAAATAAGTCAGCATTATTCCTAAATCAGTGAATACTTCCTCTTCTAGTTCAAGGTTAGAGCCGATGTTTAGATCCCAGTGGTGTTGTGAAACTCAGCTCTTAAACATGGCATCAATCATCTTATTCTCAGATGAGGAGGATGCAGACACCGGATAGATTGTTAGGGGTGGGATGGGGGTGTTATAGGAACCAGATAAATTGTTATAAAGAGGATGGAGTGAGATGGGAGAACAGCAACCAAGAGAGATTGTGAGAGGTTGGAGTGGGATGAGAGAGAACATGAGAATCAGATAGATTGTTAGGTTTGGGGTGGGGTGTTATAAGAACCAGATAAATTGTTATAACAGGATGGGGTGGGATGGGAGAACAGCAACCAAGAGAGATTGTGAGAGGTTGGAGTGGGATGAGAGAGAACATGAGAATCAGATAGATTGTCAGGGGTAGGGAGGGATGAGGGGGGGGGGGTGTAAGAATCTGATTGATTGTTAGGGGTGGGATGGGGTGGGGTGAGGTGAGGGGATACAGGAATTAGATCAACTTTTAGGGTGGGGAGGGGTGAGACCATAACAGCACCAGAAAGCTAGGGGTGGGGTAGGAGGATGAAGCAACCAGGTAGACTATTACAGTTGGAGTGGGATGGAAAGATATAATTATGGACTAGATAGAATGTTACAGGTGGGGTGGGAGAGGAGGATATGGCAACCAGATAAGATAGGAGAGACTATATTTTGTGGATGGGGTATGATCAATATTATCATCATCCCGGGACGATTTACATATCACTCATCTCTGAGTACGAGATGGAAAGGAAATGTTCTCCTCTTGAGAAAACACCAAGTGTTGGTTCAGAGAATGAAAATGGTGTCTCGATCAGGGTGAAGGAATGGTTTCACCTAGATTTGTTGATCAAAGAGATTTATTGTTTGAGGATATACACCTTGAAATATTTATGAAATGCTTCCTTATCTTTGAGGAGAAAATTGAAACTTTATCGTCATGAAGGTTTCACATTCTTTCAAAATACATATAAAGGAAAACAAATCTTTTGTCTTTCTCTTGCACTTTAAAAGCCCCACTCTTTTTCTAAACTTTGTCTATAATCCCTTTACGTCTAAAAAAAATATATCAAATTTGATGTCATCGAAGTGGACAATTAATCAATCTTTGATGGAAGTATATACAAGAGTACACAGCCTATCATCCTTGACCATGAAACATCTGGTCAGAACGTGCTTAAATTCACTGGGCCTTATTTACACACCGTCAACTCTTAATAGTTTGAGGTCAGATTGATTCAACTATTGGCAGGGGACCTAAGGGAGATGTCTCAACTATCACGATGTTTGTGGATTAAAAAGAAATTAAAGTGGCCCTCGTTGTGCCAGTATTAAGCTAGTAGGTAAGAGGTATCTCACGGAGCAGCGAATGTAGCAAATTTGGGTTTTGCCAGGGTTCGTAAAAGGTTGCAAAAGTTTTGTAAAGGATTGCAAGAAAGTTTGCAAACAGTTTTCATTGTCGCAATTCATTTTTCCACAAATAGTTGCAAGCGTTAGCAAAACAGTCGCAAGCCTTTGCAAACGGTTGTAAGACGGTGTCGCTTCAGTTCTTTTTGATTCGCCAATGCTAGCTACCACGTTACCATATGGTTGCTATATAAAATCGACCCGTTGAGTACCAGGAGTTAGCAAAAGGTCCCAAACATTCACAAATAGTGGCAAAGGATTGGCAAATAGTTGCTAATCTTCGCAAAACCTGTCGCTAACATTTGCTCAAATGATGCCTATTGTTGCTAAACATTGCTAAAATTGCTAAATGTCGTAAATATTCCCTGTCCCTGATTTTCGCCAACATTCATCAGAAAAGTTGGCAAATCCAAATTTGCAACGTTTGTAAGCATTCGCCGCCCAGTGAGATACCCCCCTTTAAAAATGAATTGTAAAAGTCATCAAATGCAGAACAGACAAATAGATGCTCCATTATTAAAGAAATAATCTATTTTTAAAGAAATAAACAACATTCTATGCATCTTCCTCATCTTTTATGTTGGAGACTGATTGTTAATTTGTGTAAATTTGCCTATGATTTTTGGTACTGAAGCTAGCATTTCTCTAAATAATATCCTTCGTTCTCCTTTGTTAAATCATGTCTACGTATTTTTCCTACTGATTGTGAAGCTGCTACTTTCAATTCTAAGAACCAAACCAAATCAAACCCTCTAAGCCTAGCCTTCATCCACATTACTCAACACCATAACAAGTGTAGCTTCCGCTACTTCTACCCTTCCTTTTCCCATTTAACATTTCATGTACAATCTAAGGAGTGATCCACAATTTTGACCAAATATCAAGTTCTGCATCCTGGATTATGAGATGTTGATCCTCAGCTGTGTCTGAGATGATGGAATAGGAAAATGGAAGCAGATTTTCACTTGTTTTCTTATCATTATGGTAGGATCAGAGAGAGCACAGCAGTCTGGATACTAGTCTGAAATTCTTCCTCAACAATCTTCAAAATTTAGACTATTGTGATTGTAATTTGATACATGAAAAATCAATTTTTCATTTTTGATGGAATTTTATTTTTTCTCTACAATTTGTTTCTTCTTTTGAATCATCCTCAAGCCCGTTGTAAACCTTTATTTATTCACATGTCTTGAATAATTTGCCAAAGTTCTGTTTCCATTTCTCTCACTATTACAATGTTAAGATTTTGACAAACATGAACTAAAGGTCTAAACAATCAAATTAAAATGTGCCTCCACTAACATGGATCGAGTTGTTTTCATCTAGTTGAATGATTGAATAACCGATAAATAATTTGATAAAGTTCTGTTTATATTTCTCTCACTATTTCAGCGTTAAGATTTTGATAAACATGAACTAAAGGTCTACAAAAACAATCAAATTAAACTGTGCCTCCAACATGGATCAAGTTGTTTTCATCTACTTGAATGATTGAATAACTGATATATTCAGTATCTTTTGAATGAATGATATTACTTGCAGCAAAGAATAAACATCTCATGGAATTCTAAAACGTGCATGGCTTATCTGCAACAACACAGAGGTCCTAAAAGCTTGCGAATGATAAAGGAGGTCTGAGGCCAATGTGCTGTTCACCTTATCAACTGTCAATGATTCACATGCTCTGGTAAAGACTAAGAATATACGGATTTACGACATGACAAATGAAGAGAACTTTCACACCCAGCTGGCATTGACATGACTAATAGCTGTCTAAATGGGAAGGAATATATCTCAATGGTATAAATCAATTGGCGTCAATGTCTGTAACCAGCCTTTCCTCTATGATACTCTGGGGTAGACAGCCTGATGCCTGGAAGAGTTGCCACAGAAACCAAATATGTATTCACGCCTCGGCACAGAAACAAGATAACCTCAGAGCTAATGTACCAATCACCAAAACATGTTTTTCTCTTGATGTTAAATGTTGCCTATACTGTATTCAAAATATGAGCTTCCAAATTACTCCTACAGGAATGAGACAGAGAAATTCCCCAAAAGGAGGAAGATAAATGGGGGTCTGCGGGCATCGCCACTGGCGAGGGCTATAGGAAACTTTAGAATATATTCAATTAAAGGACATGTTTTCCTTGCATTTAAATTCTAAATTGGAGAGACATTTGTTACCCCATCTTGCTTAAAGGGACTCTGTAAGTGTAACATTGTTCAGATGAGAAATTTTGTATTTTATTTTATTTTTTAATAACAGATTGTGTGTTGAGTATGGTAGACTATAGTTGACACCAACATAAGTGTTCGCAAAGAAAAGGGCACACTTGGAACCTAAGTCGGTTCTGTATGCTGCGTTTTATGTTATCTATTATTTTGTTCTTGGTTCACTTGAATATTGACATGATGAGGGAAATAATGCACTTTAAAACAGACTTCAATTTGGCAATGAGGAAATGTAGCTCCATCAAAAAATGACCCATGAAACCAGTCTTGTTTCACTTCATCAACGAGAGCCAGAAGAACATTAATTCATTTATTTAAGATGTAGCCAAAGTCTTTATGGCTCTCCGCAGACAATATAAAATTTATGATGCCTTGCCTCAGGGCTATAAACCCCAAAGTCCATCTCTTCTTGATGGGATATTTGCTTCAAGAAATTTGACGAACAAACAAAATCATTATTGCGCAAACACTTAAATATTTGCTACAGGAAATAGAAACTGTTATTTAGAACAGGAGGCAAAGATTAAATCTTGATTTCCTTGCAAATAGTGATTCATAAAGACCTCCTTCACTTTCCATGTCCATGTTTGATTATCCCAAAAAGGTATTGCTGTGCATAATTGAAAGCCACTTTGGGATCACAGAAGAATAAACATATTTGTTCTTCATTGTTATAACACTTCTGATAATAGTAATTCAAACACCGGGAAAATAAGAAAGACCAGCAAAGGTAGTCCACACAAAGTGGGAGATGGAGAACTATATAGAAGCAGCAGCAACAGAAGTTGAAGCAGTTGGACCGAAAATGACGATGCAACATTTGTGTAACAATATTCATAGGGTAGTGAAATAATATCATTTGTACCCGTGGTTGAAACAAGTCTTACTAAAAATGAAAACATATGCCTATCTACCTCCTTTTGATCACAACTTCTATTCTCCACACAGAATTGCAATGTTAGATTTAGTACAAGGAGTGAAGGCAAATAATATATAAAAACAAATAAACATCCCCTCCCCTAAACCATTTGTTCTTGTACTTGTGTATCCTAATACTCTATCAGAATATATTCATCCACAAATCACCCACTTTCATTTATATTTGAAAATGAAAAGGAGAAGCTTCGAAAGTACCTGAAAAGGAAAGAGTCCTATTTAATTATATTGGGTCAAAATCTTTCACTACAAATAAGCAATGTTTGCAGGGCACACTTTGTACAATAGTTGGCATGGTAACAAGCGATTTCTTTGGAGTGATTTACGACACAATTTCAACAGTTTGAAAGAAAAAGAAGGGAAAGTTACAGACAAAAGGGAAACATAAAAATGAAGACTGTGCCCTAAAACCACAGACGAATTCGGAAAGGAAAAGGAACTTCTACCACAAAGCTATATTTTTGACATAGTGACAGATGGCATTTAAAAATATCACCAAGGTAACATGCGGTTAGAAACACTTTAAAAGTCACTTCGCTCCGGGTTATTAAATTCTTTCAAGGAATTAATGGTTAATACCGTGATAAAGCCGACTAGAATCAGGTCAAAGCTGTAAGATTATCTCAGGTCTCTAAAAACATGCGCTAAAATGTTCTAGAAAATACTTGTCAACAGCAGGATTATTCTCCTATTCCAATATCTCTGACACCTTAGGGTAAATAACCTACAAAACTCTTAAAATTGAATGCCAGGGTCTCTTTCACTTTGAATTACATTTAATTCAAAGCTATGACAAGAATAGTGTGCACATGAAAAATACATTTTCTTATACCTCTTCTCCACCTCTTTGATCATAAATTTCATATTTTTTTGGTCTTTATCTCTTGCTATTTCTCTCTATGTCTCTCTATATATCTCACTGTTTCATTATACTATAATTCCCTGTGGGTATTGCATGTGTATTCAATTTATGCATTGGGTTAGACTGTGCAACTTGGGAATTGTAAATTTCAGAAATTCATGTTCTAGAATGTCACAAATTGGGCTAACTGGTGTGAGATGCTTATTATTAGTTGTGAAATTTCGCTTGCTCCACTTTCTAGCGACTGAAGCGAGTTTGAATCACTATAGAGAAGTATGTTTTATGTTTCTGATAAAATTTAGTAGGGAAGTATCTAACTGAAATATGATTCCTCCAATTAAGTATTTTTCATAAGCTTGGGGAAGAAAATGTACATGCCTTTGAAAAAAGGGAATAATTATAGGCCTATATGTTTGACTCAACTTTGAATCACGTTTTGAGCTTTCTACCGATAAAAGCATGTTCACCAGATTGAATCCTCTTGCATACCTGATCATCCCCTCAGGGTCTTACCCAAATCCCATACACATTTTCATCTTTAATGCTATCTTTTCACACATTTCCTTGTCTTCTCTTGTCCTAGGCAACCTGTGTGGGTGTCCTTTTTATCCAAACCATCCCCTGTAGAACCAAGGAATGACTGGTTTACAAGTAATACCCTACAAAAATCTTATTTTTAAGAACCAAAAGTGCATGTGCCATTTTTGATAATGCCACATGCTTTGTTTGAAGGAAAATGAAAACCAGATGACCTATTGTGTTTATGACAACCGGCTATTACTGCATTAGGATGTTCTGAAATAGAAAGGAAAAGGAAATGAGAACCCAGATTTTCACTCGGCACTGCATTTTTGTGCCATCGAGCTTAGGTCTACTTTGACTCTGTCAGTCCATATAATCTGTTTGATGAAAGAAGTTGGATATTTCATCCCCAAAACCACTAAACTTAAAGGCGAACTGTAGCAATGTTTTGGAGTGTTTTGGGGGTATATTTTATGTTTAAACATGACACTTGGAGAAGTCTATGTATATAGGCCTAATTGTTATAATCATTCAAATCAATGTTTACTTCAGACACCAATTTGAGATGAAACAATTATATTTAGAACATTTCTGCAAAAGAAAGAATATTCTTCAATTTGAACCTTTGTATTATTGCACTATGGGGAACCTCACTCTCTGTATCAGAGAAATTTGTTGTTAACCAAAATTGATTCATTGTGTCATTTGTTACCATTTTGTTGGAAACTAATATAGTTCAAAAAGGAAATTCTCAATGAACAGATTTTCACAAACCTGTGAGAAGTGTTCCTATGTCATAGAAGGTTATCAGAACAGGTACAACAAAGTTTAAATCCTATCTGCACTAGTTTGGCCAGGGGGATTAGACCTCCCTGCAAGGTCACTGACAGGTGGTTATCTCATTGAAACAGCTCTCAATTAACATAAGAACAAGGGGACCATGGGGGACCACTTAGGTATTGTTTGTGCTATATAGAGGGCGCAGGTAGCTATAAGTAGTGCAGTGGGGCTCTAAAAGATTTAATTTTTGTAACTTTAAGAAAGATGGCATCACAAACCTGGATGATGCTTCCTGGGAGTATCCAGAGGCTGGAAGAACCGTTCATATTTAGTTGTCATGAGGTCAGAGAGTAGAGAATGGCAAGCCATCATATACATGAGTTCAACATGTCTTGGGACTTCTCTACAGTGAGTATCCGGTTCCGTCTGCAGCTGCTTCACAAATGTGTTCAGGCAATCTTCGTTACAAAGCTCTGTGCGGTTGTTCAGATGCGGGTTCATGTCAGGTGCTGAAAAGAGAAAAAAATATCTGGAAAATCAGTAAACAAATACAAGACACAAGATTCGATAGATTTTGCCACTTTTTGATGACTTCCTTGGGACATATATATTTCTGGCTGTTTTTTTCTTATCTGAGGTGTTTGGGCAGAAAAGGTGATGGGTCAAATGGATAATATCATAAAGGAAAGGAATTTTGCTGACTTGAAAAGTGAATCAACCAGTACTTGAGCCTAATGCCTTTCTCCTGAATTTGTACAGAACTGATCATTTATGTGAAAACTGAACAACTTGTTCATATTAGGCCTTACCTATTTGCATAATTCATGCTATATATATATAAAGTCATAAAACCTGAATGTTCTGAAGTTTATTGTTTTAAAAAAGGGCAACCAAATAGCTTAAAGAGAAGGTTGAGTTCCGGGAAGAGGTGAAACAAAATTTGTGAGCGTTATCATATTCTTATTATGCAAGTGTGGAAGAACATCAGATATGACATGTTCCCTGAAAAGCATGGCTCTTCAAATGCCTTTATATTCTAAATATGTCATGTAACTCGTAAAACTCGGGGGGGGAGGGGGGGGGGGTAGGTTTTTTACGCCATGTGTTTGTGTAGTCCCATAAACATCTTTCTGTGTACAGTGTTTGTAACTTTACCAAGACTTGGCCAAATTTCTTATCATTTTGATGATTCCAGAACCTTGCAATACACACAAATTCTTATATGCTAGATGATCAATCTTTTCTGGTCGATTTCACACCGTTTCTTTTACAATGCAAGCACATGACCAGAACTCAACTTCATCTTTAAACCTTAGTGACATCCTTACCTATGTATTTATATAACCTTTCATTTGATGTCTGTATGACAATTTTTCAAGCAAATCTATGATTTCAAAAATACTGAGAAAGATTAAGCTAGCTATTGGTAATGGAAGTGTGAAAGATATATGGGTTTCATCAGGTAAATCCAACCCACATTAAGAACTACTTATCTGTATACCGGTACACCTAAATGTATAGTGGAGCCACGACCCATCATTACCTCATTATCCAGCTCAACAAACGTTGAGTAATACATCATCTAACCTCTTCAGTCTGTCATTACTACTGACATGGTGATTAATACATGTCCTTGCACACCAGATTAAATTCACATCACATCATATAGAATAATAGAACTACCTTTTACCCCTATCAACATCTTACATTTCAATCTCTCTTAATTCTACCCCTTAAAACCCAGACCAAGCCCTAAGCCCCTTGCTTCATTTTCTTCTTCTTTTTTTCTTCTTCTTTTGAAACTATGCTATGTAACCGACTGAAAATTCAATGAGAAAACATAGCAGCTAGTCAAGGCAATGTGGACTGTCTGTAGAGAGACTGACAGATACCCATATACAATATTGATTTTTTGCTTGAATGATATTTACTTATTGAATAGAGAGAATAAACCTACAAAATCAATCATATATCCATATTTCTGAAATTACATTGATGACAAACTAGAATTTTAGAGAAGTTATAATTCTTGTAATATGCCATGCTATACCTTGTCAGTACTAAGAGAACCAGGGGAGAGCAAAGAGAGGGACACGGAGACAGAGACAGACAGAGAAAGAGAGAGAGAGACAGAGAGAGAGAAAGAGAGAGAGAGAGAGAGAGAGAGAGAGAGAGAGATGCAGACAGATAGAGACAAAACAAAGACCAAGAGGAAAATGAAAAAGAAGTTGTAGAAGGAAATGAATTAGATGCTACTGTGAACACTAATCTTCTATAAGATTCTACTCTCATGCACCTCATCAATTGTTTTTTTCTTCTCTCAAGGACCTTTAATTCATCCTGGGAAAGATTGATGTCTAGTTTTGATCATTCTGATTAAAGATTTTGAACAAAACCTGAACTAAAACCACAACAAAACTGTGTCTGAGAACTCTAAGTGTAGATTGATGAATGTATTTTCCAGCCCTGACAGATCTGTAATATTAAACCAGTCAGCCCACTCATAACATTCATTGCCATAGTGATCAGCTTTTGATTCAAAGTCTATTAATTTCCTTCCTCGAGTTCAAGTTTAGCAAAGACATTTGGCCTCACCATCAAGAGAAATGTGATAGGTTATGGTAATGTTCTAGACAAAATGCATTACATTCATGGACAGACATATGGAGAGGGAAACATGTCCCAATTCAGAGAGGGAGGGAGGGAGATATATATATATATATATATAGAGAGAGAGAGAGAGAGATAGATAGAGAGAGAGAGAGAGAGAGAGAGAGAGTGGGGGAGAGACAGACAGACATTATTTATTACATTCATGGTCAAAAATATGGAGAGGGAAACATGTCCCAGTTCAGAGAGAGAGAGAGAGAGAGAGAGAGTTAGACATTATTACATTGATGGACAGAAATATGCAGAGTAAAATATGTCCAGATTCAGGAAGAGAGAGAAAGAGAGAGTGGGGGATATAACTATATATAGGAGGGGTTTCAACTGATGACAAAGAAAACATGTACGGTAATAAGACTGGAAATGAGAGAAAAATTATAACATCATGAATGACTTTTATCGAATCCAAACAGCAATGTGAGTCACAGAGTTTGGATGAAAATGAGATTAACTTTTCTGGCTCATATTATCCATGGAGGATTGACTGCAACAAGATTTACAATATTGATGATGATTTGGCATAATTCACTCATCTAACACTCTTCTTTTTTATAAGTAATTTATATCTCTGCATAGGGGAGTACTACATCAAGTTCAAGTTCAAGTTCAGTTTATTCAATTCCAATAAAATATACAAAACAGAATACAATCATGATAGAATAAGAGTATAAGTCGATCAATAATACAAAATGAGGTAAAATTATAAAACTATAAAGTGATACATCAGATAACAACATATCATTCAGTATAATTAAATAATCAAACAGAGAGAGAGAGAGAGAGAGAGAGAGAGAGAGAGAGAGATCTATGAAGTCTAAAACTTTTAGGCATTGCTGAGGGATGACACATTTTGAAGTCTGCCCTTTGAGAGCAAATATGATTCTCCATAGCTCGTACTATCATGTGAAATAAAGAAAACGCTTCTTTGAACATGTACTGCTAAAGATTGATTTAAAGCAAGAAAGTGTGTCTTTTGAATTAGCACGCTGATAAAGTAATTAAAGTCTGAGATTTCCATGAGCTCAATGCTTTCCCTTGTGCGAGGTTGTGCGAGGTTGTGCGAGGTTCTGCCCGTAAGGCGAGTCCTCCACCTTAATATAGTCGAATCTGCAGACACAAATTGGGCTCAAATCATACCGGTATCCTAGATATTTCAGCTTCAGTCGGGAAAACATCTTGCAAGAAGATTTCCTTCGTGAGAGAGAAGTAAACACTAAATAGAGTGCATTATAAGCACGCATTAAAACCACAGGAAATGCATCATGAAAGAGTGGGCCTCGCTGGATAAAAAACTTTAAATCTTTCTCAGCAAAATAATTGATTTGTTCTCTTTACAGTAAGCCCTCTTCTAATCAATATGGAACATATGAGCCAAAGGAGGCTTTAAAACGTCCCTGCATGTTCGTATGATATTTATATACACAGGAAACATCGAGATACGTGGCTTAACCATCAGCTACACGTACAGTATATTGATAAATTCATTCGCATTCTGCTCATACATTATCGTGGACTTTTAATTGAGATTTAGCCTCAGTGCCATTACTGAACAGCATGAGTTGAATTATTGAATATGATTCATGACCTAGCTGTAGCACATGATTTGACTTCTTTCTAAATTATCAGCGACGAGAGCTTATCATTTAATCTCCTCTCCTCACTTCCAAATATACTTCACCTAGGGCCAAAGCGGTGAGAAATGATTAGACCAGCTTCGTAATGAAATCAAATTTAATGAGATGCTATTTCCAATTTTCCATAGAGTTCCCCTCCCCCCTTCCTGCATCCTAACCCCATACCCCTTCAATACTATCTTGATTAGCAGTGCCTCGTTACAAATTATTTCATTCATAAATAGTTGTATTTTAATAGTCAGAATGCAAATTGCATACAGTAATTGTTGCTAGGTAAGACAAACATCATGGCTTTTCCTACCTAACAACACAGCATTCATGTAATTCGCATTCTGACTATATACTGCAATACAATTATTCCTAACAGGTGAATGGAATCATTGTAGTTGGGCACTTAAAGCTAAAGACCAGTATTGGAAATGCCCCAATTTCAAAAAATGAAATGGAAGCTCTTATTACCAATCATGTGAAAGAATATGTTTTGAATATTACATGATGATAAAAATTTTGACGGAAAACCGCCTACTAATTGATATATTTGGTAAATTAGTGTATCTCTTGCCTGTTGAGAGATATGAAATGCATGTGTCAAGCACGTGTGTGTAGTCCCATATACATCTTTCTGTGTACAGTGCTTCTAACTTTATGAAGACTTGGCCAAATTTCTTATCATTTTGATGATTCCAGAACCTTGCAGTACATCTATGCTAGATGATCAACCTTCGATCGATTTCACAACGTTTCTTTCACAATGCAATCGCATGACCATAACTGGTCTTTAGCTTTAACAAAGATTTGTGCATCAAATTTGATTACATTGTGAAAATAGCCTATTGCTTTCAATCACTTCATTTAAACCAAAAACCTCTTAACCTCAACTTGTAATGTAAAACACTCCATAAATTGGGGAAAGAAGGACATTAAATCCAGTAACTGTCAGTAATTTCAATACTGCTAACAAAATATTCTACTCTTTCCATGCAAATGACAGGAAGTTTATGGAGCCCATGTTCTAAATGACATTAGGATGGTTTGTTTTTAGGATGGTTTGTTTTTAGCCGACATCTAGTAGGTCTATGTGTCCTTAGATCAAAACAGACAGCTTTGTTTAGTCTGATATCAAGTCATGTCGCTGACCAAATGGACAGGTTGCTATGACCCAATTTCCTAAAGGAAATGAGCTCTCCTTATTAAGCCTGTCCTCATCA